AGAGGGAGAAGCAGGCTTCCCGCTGAGCAGGGAGCCCGATGCGGGGCTTGATCCCAGGACCCTGGGATCATGACCTGAGCCGAAGGCAGACGCTTAATGACTGAGCCACCCAGGTGCCCCAAGAATATATTTTTTAAAGATTTTATGTATTTATTAGAGAACTCATGAGTTAGGGGAGAGGCTGAGGGGAAGAGAGAGGGACAAGTAGACTTTGAGCTGAGTGTGGAACCCAATGTGGGGCTTGATCCCATGACCCTGAGATCACAACCTGAGCTGAAACCAAGAGTTGGACACCCAACTGACTGAGCCACCCAGGCACCCCAATCTTTTTAACATATCCAACATCCAACAAAGTAAAATTCACAATATCTGGCATTCAATAAAATATTATCAGAGACATTTCTCATTTCTGGTCTAGCACTGAGAAGCTGGAAGTTGCCACTCCATTGTAACAATAAATAAAAAGCTGAACTTTGAAGCAATAATGACTAAGAATTTCCCCAAATTAATTTCAGGCACCAAACCACAGATCCAGTAAGCTCAGAGAACACCAACTAGGATAAATGCCAAAAAATCCCTAAACCTAGGGATATCATTTTCATACTACAGAAAATTAACAATAAATTTAAAATCCTGAAAGAAGTCAGATGGGGGAAAACACCTTACCTATAGAGGAGCAAAGGTAAGAATTACATCTGACTTCTCCTCAATAACTGTGCAGTCAAGAAGACAGTTGGAATGAAATATTTTAAACATTGAAAAAAAAAACCCCACCAAGCTAGAATTCAGTACTCTGCAAAATTATCCTTTAAATGTGAGAGAGAAAGACTTTCAAAAACATAAATAAAGACAAACAAAAATTGAGGGAATTTGCTGGGTGCCTGGGTGGCTCAGTTGGTTAAGAGTCTGCCTTCAGCTCAGGTCATGATCCCAGGGTTCTGGGATCAAGTCCCACATCAGGCTCCCAGCTCAGTGGGGTGTCTGCTTCTCTCTCTGTCTATGCCCCTCACCCCGCTCATGCTCTCTCAAATAAATAAATAAAACCTTAAAAAAAAAAATTGAGGGAATGTGTTGCCAGCAGATCTTCCTTGCAAGAAATGTTAGAAGTTATTTAGAGAGAAGTAAAATGAGATGAGTCAGAAACTTGGATTTGCATAAAGAAAAGATGATCATCAGAGAAGGAATAAGTGAAGGTAAAATAAAAATTTTATTTTTATTCTTAATTGATTCACCAGATAAATTTGTTCAAATAATAATATATTTGACTATGAATGCTTTTGTATATATGGATTGCTATAGACAGAACGTGTCCCCCCAAAATTCTTGTGTTGAAATCCTAACCCCCAATGTGATGGTATTGCAAGGTGGGGCCTTTGGGAGGTGATTAGGTCATGAGGGTGAAGCCATCCTGGATAGTATTAGCGCCCTTATAAAAGAGACCCTAGAGAGCTCCTTTGTTCCTTGTTCCATGTGACAACACAGTGAAAAGATGGCTGTCTGTGAATCAGGAAATGGGCCCTCATCAGACACCAAACCTGCTGATGCCTTGATCTTAGACTTTCCAGCTTCCAGAACTGTGGCTGATACATTTATGTTTTTTTTTTTT